GGTGATGATAATTGCGAACAGCGTTCGTATTTGGTACGCATTTGATGAAACAACTGAATCTGCAAGTGTTAAATCCCAATGAGAATCGTTCTCCAGCAAACCCAATAGTTGACATGCTTCTCGATATGTTTGGCATTGGTGGCCATTCACAGTTTTCAAATGCGCAAATGATTTCGGTCCACGTACATTTACTAACAGCAGTCGCAAATAAAAACATTCATATTACTTTTATCTAGGCATTTTGGACTATGGACAGAGTGTTGAATTTAACTTCAAATGCACGATCCACATAATTTACATAATTTATTTTAGCTTAAATGAAATTAACTGAGCAGAGAATAATGACTATCTGTCAAACACTTTATCACGCACCGTTGCTATTGGTTTGAAGTACATCAGGAAAACCGGACTTATTTTTATATAATAGATAATAGATGGCGCTGTATGTGAAAAACGATTTCCCCACTTTTCTGTTGAATTTTTCCTGAATTTTCCAGAATTTTCTTTGCTATAAACCTCACGGAGCCCAAGACCTTTCCAACGAATGCAAAACCGTGGAAATCGGTTCGTGCGTTCTCGAGTTATAGCGTCAGGGAGGAAAACCGGACTTATTTTTATATAATAGATTATGCCCGGACGGTTCTTACTCAAAACATAACATTTGTTTGGAAAAAAGTTTCCCAAGTTTCTTCAAGATATAAGTAGATACCTCACACACGTGTTGGTACAAGTATATGATTTTTATTCATAATATACTCCACGTGTTCGTGGCAGGGACTGGAACTTCACCTAAAAGAACTGGTTTTGGAACCGGAACCTTTTGAATATTGGGAATCGAAACCTCACCGAATCCCTTATTTAAATTAATTTTAATACCGGAACCTTACCGAAACCCTTATTTAAATTAATTTATAAACCAAAACCTTACCGGGACCGATACTTTTACTTGACAATTTTTTTTACATAAGTAAAAAACCAAATCAATTAACAATCGTTTTATTTTTTAAGAACCAAAAAGAAACTGAAACCTAAATGTTAGGTTTTTCTGGGAACCGTATAGGAACTGGAACCGACATTTTAGTTTTACTGGGAACCTAATAAGAACCGGAATTGTACAAATCATCAAGGTTCTAGTCCCTGGTTCGTGGAGAAGAAAGACCTGAAGGTTCTTAAACGTTTGTTTTCTCGTACCTTGTATGAATATATTCTGGTCAGGCACGTACCACTATAGGTTCTGAAGACTTAAAATAAAACTATTCAAAATCATTGATCTATAATTTTTAAAGTGCATAGCAGGCTGTACTATTACGTAGTATTTCAAGTACCACCAGCAACCCTCTAATTTGAAGTATTTTTGATTTTCTACTGTGGGTAAGTTGTACCGAAAAATGTACCGGAAAAAAACTGTCTTTCGAAAATTTTGATAATTTACATCTTATTACAAATACGACAAATAAATAACTATCATAATAAATTTCTTAAATTAATTAAATAATAATTTATAAACAACATGTTGACTAAGTTTTTTACTTTACAATTAATCTTATTTGTCTTCATAGGTATTCGTAATATTACAAAATTATGATATTTTACTTAGTTTCCATATTAGGTTCATCACATATTTTAAAAGTTTATCAATACTAAATATAATGTCACTTAATGACTTTTTTTTACCTTAGCTTTTTTATGAATCGAGTTATAACGAAGTCTTTTTGGTGTGATATCATCTATTTTGTATAGTAAAAAGTTGTGATTTTATTTGATTTTGTTGCACCTGAAGATGAATTCTGGATTCAAAACAGGTCGTTGAATACAAACCTAGTAATACTCAAGGCTAAGCTTTATTTATTTATATATCATGCACGCTTGTATAAATAATATAATATTATAATGTAGA